TCACTCTGCAATTCGTCATTTGGGGCCCTGCGCAAAGTCGTTAGTTTTCAGTCACTTGTGTTTTCCGGCTGCGTGTACCAGTAAGTAGAACTAAAGATATCACTGTGATAACTTCTGCCACGTAGATGTTCGTAGTCCAAAACGTCGGCAGTCATCGACTTAGTCGAGCACTGGTCGTCATCAAGGCCTGGATCGGATTCGTCGTCTTGCCATTCTGTCTGATGGGCCTGCCGTTAGTATTGTCATTGGAGTAGCTGGAAAGAGAGATCTCACCTCGGTTGGAGTTACAAATTCCATTCCTTGTGTAAAAGAGGTCGAAGATAAGAGACCTGGTTGCCAACCACCTGGCCCATCCACAACCAACGGGGATGAGGACCTCGACCCCGAGGATACCTCTGTCATCTTCGAAGAACTCAAGATGTGGAAGAGATCCTGAGAGGCAGCACCGAATCGTGTCTGTTCGGGGATGCACTCTACTTATATGCTCCGGATCTGGTGGGGCTGGCGCTGCTTGGATGGCTGGTCTGGCCAGGCCAGGGAGGGTAGAGTCTTAGTATCACCATGCCAGCAACTGCGGGTATGCATGAAGCTCGCTAAAGGAGAAAATTAAAGGGGATTAGCGCCGTCAGATCAGGAGACGCGTCGGAAATTGAAAAACCTACATAGGTGCCACATGGACTCGGAACCAACCTAGGCCGCCGCTTGTTAGATGCTGATTAACAACGGTAACTGTAAGGGGAAGGAAATCATGATGAGTGAACGGAAGCGAAGTGAGCCCAGCTTGATCTGTTGAATGCCTGGACCGACCGAGTAAACGACCGCAGTAGTTTTGGTGTGAGACCAAAAAGACCGTGACATATCAAGGATCTGGAGGAGAAAGTTGCAACGGGAATAAGCGTGACAGAATAACCGTATCTTCCTCGCCGTCCTCGCCGTATGGAGACAGGCGAAGGAAACCAGGTGCTTTCCAAGAGTGTGTCAGCTACGGCAGATTCATCAAAGAGTCGCGTATGAGTAGAAGGGCCGCGTCTTCCACGTTGGGTGTCTATCAAGCCTTTCCCGCAGGTCGGAAACCCGATCGCAGGTTGTTCAGAGCGCGGCTTTCATTGGGTTCCCTCACTCATCCAACTACTCAAAGACGACGCTACGTTAGGCTACGACGCAGACTGGTAGGAATGTTCGCCGTCTACGTCGTCGAACCCACAATCGATTTCATGATGGTTGCTTCGCTAGCGGTCTCGTCTTCGCATCCAACAACGCGGCGTGCACTGTGCACATCATCGCGAACTGTAGCGTGGTAGACATTATGCTTCGCAGTGACCATAATCTCATTGAAACCCACATTCCATGTATCATGTGCTAATGGTTTGCGAGGAGGCCGAAGGTAATTATTACAACGTACGCGGCGTGAAAGTGAATGAAGTTTTGCTTGGTGCGCTGTTGAAATTCTTTGAGATTGGTAGGAAGGTTCAGACAGGCCGGGTCAATCAAATCAAACAGAGGACTACTTGCTGAATTCCCAAGTGTGCGATCGATGCAAGGCCAGTAGGTGTGTTTCAACGCAGAGAGGGCGACCTAAAGGGCCTCAACAGACATGATTTCAGACTAGCAGATTTGGAGAAAAAGACAAAAGTGGGAGAACCCGAGTTCCCAATTCCATGAGGAGATCCTACAATCTTAATTATTGTCCAGCTGCGGCCTAAAGCGTCTCGATCCCTTTCAGCCCTACAGTAACTATTGTCTCTGTCACTTGAGCTTGCATTGGCTAGCTGTGGGAAGCTGCAATGGTCAATGGTGTGTGTTCGTGCAAGTGGTCTCACAAACTCGCCTAGCTCGACAACACGGATGGCGAGTGTGATGGCCCGAGGAGCCTGCGAAGACTGCCCGTTTCATGACGCAGGAAAGAAGCGAAGTCGAACCCAGTTCCGACGTACGCGGTAGCAACTGGCCATGGATGCACTGCGTGAGTGTTCAATTCATATGGGATTAGGAAGCGGAGCTACAAATGAATCTCGCAAGCTTTTGGCGATGCGGCCAAGTCTGCTTCTTGCAACCAGACCAAAGGGAACGCGGAGACAAAAGCAAAGCTAGAGAAGCTATAAAAGAAATTGGCTTACTTGTGAAGCGACTCTGGAGGCGTCTAGCATTACAGCAGATTCCCCAGAGCCCGGACTGACTCGGACACGCCGTCATACCAGTTCAGCTTACAGTACATACCAAAGGTTTGGAAAACTCTAATCTCAAAGAGAGATCTTCCGGGCACGAGGAGGTCCGATAATACTTCTCTCACCTTGACGCCACCCTCGGGCTGCGGGTAACGCCAGCTTCACGCCTGAGTGGACGACGTGAAGTACGACGCGAGCAGTGCGATGGATCTTCCATGCGGAAAGAGGTCTTCGCATCTCGTCGATATCCGCCAGAGCACCGCGTGGTGAACTAATGCAAACGTTTCCGGGAAGAGAGTCGAGCCTCTTGTTTTTTCCGCGAGGTTTAGGTATGGTGACAGGAGTGTGAACGCGTGTTGGACGACTGGTCTAGCTTCCGCGACTCTAGAGCGTAGTACGCATCAATCCCATGGTGTTGTGGTCCGTCTTCTCGGGTTCATGAACCAGTGACTAGGTAGCCTTAAATATTCCTATGGAAGGCTTTGAGTGCGTTTCTCTGTTTCAATTAGGTTAAACCGCAGATTCCACACCTGTGGTGCCTTCTCCTCAATTCCTTTCTGTATTGACCACATGCCATCCTCGATATTGCAGCCTACATGGCGCGAACGGCGTCCCTACCGCACTGCAGCGTGACAAACTGCTTCAGGCAACCAACTTGGACATCCACCTGACTCCACGTAACTCGCTCAAGCATCAGGTTTGGGCCATTGAATGCGCTTTCCGTTGCATTGCATCAGCCATTTGTGGGTGTAGCATGACTGTTCTTGAGATACACGACAATCAGTACGCTTTGTCGTCCTGCGGCGTCTCTGCGTAGCACTCTGCGTAGCAGTATAGTACAGTAGCACAAATCCGGCAGTCAGTCCCTCACGAGACACGTACTCGATCGTCTTTCCGAGCCTTATAGCATCCCGTTTGGGCCAGCCCCTCGCCCCGTGCTGCCGTGCATTATTGGGGTCTGTTGTGATCTTTGTGCGCAGTCATTCCTGATCTGCCCGGACGCAATGTTAAGATCGAGCAAGTAGGCTTCTGTCGCGGTCTCGGCCCCCGAGTAAACCTGCCTCGCGCGCCAGACATGACTCGACACCAGTTCGAAAAATCGACATTGTCTGATGCCTTCTGTCACATCTTGCATCTCTTCGGCCCCCTTTCCCGCTGTTTAAGGTTTGAGCCAGACCCATCTCTGGCCAATCAGGTAGCGACGGCCCGTTTTCCGTCACCACTTCGGGCAGGAGCTTGAGCCAGCCTTAATCGGCTTCGTCACCCACAATGCGCAACCCTTCCGCCGGAAGCTGATTCCTGATCGAATCAAACCTGTTCGTCTCATGGCCACTTGCAAACCGTCGACGTCGGAATCGGCATCTTGGTTGTCGATGGTGTCGGCGCTGTCGACTCGGTCGAAGAAAGTATCTTCCAAGCCTCCCTGCATGCTTGCGGTAGTGGGTTTAGCTCCAAGATGGACGCAGGCGGGCGGACGCTAGACCCCTGTCCCTTCGACGCTGGGACGTTGGGACGCTGGGCTGATCGCCTGCGCCGGCCTGGACACTCGGCACCGGCGGCTTACTTTCACGACTTCGTCGTTTTGACCAGGCCTTACGCGTCCGCCATCGACCTTCTCACAGTATGTTGGATAAGCTGCGGGCGTTTTTCCGGAGCAAAACCATGACTAGGCCGACCTACATGGGCAGCTCACTCGTCGCACAGCTCTTAGACATCTGCCTTCGTAAGGGGGGCACGGCTGTCCAGGTTCAGGTGAACACCAAGTTCAAAGATCTGCTCGTCGAAGAGGGAGTCGTCTGTGGCGCTGTTGTGGAGTCGAAAGATTCCGGGGTGTTCAAGGTCTATGCTCCCCACGGGATCCTCCTGGCTGCCGGTGGTTTCTCTCGACGTGAAGATCTGCGGCGGGAACACCTGCCCCTCATTGGACCCGAGTGGACGTTGACGCAACCTGAAGGCGACACGGGAGATGCTCTGGAAGCAGCGTGCAAGGTCGGCGCGGCCACGTCGCTCATGGGCGAAGCGTGGTGGATCCCTACAATCATCGATCCTGGAAGCGGGAGGCTCACGACCGCCTTGTTTGAGCTGTGCAAGCCCCACTGCATTGTTGTCGACCGGCAAGGGTCAAGACTCTTCTCCGAGGCCGACCCGTACGGCGACGTGGGTCGTGCGCTCTATCATCGGTCTCGGGACGATGACACCACTGCCTGGCTGATACGTGATTGGAGCTACCGGAGGCGATACACTCTAGGGTCGCTTGGCCCTAGGGTCGAGCCGGTTGACGCCCTAGCTCGTGGACACATCTTCCGGGCAGACGACTTGGCCAGTCTCGCAGCTCAAGTCGGCGTCGAAGCCAACGGTCTGTTACGGACGGTTGAGACGTGGAACCAGGCGTGCGACGACGGAGTCGATGGGCTATTCGGCAAAGGCCGCAGCAAGTACCACCTCTTCTTTGGGCACAGAAGCGCAAAGCGACCAAACATGGGAAACCTTGATGAACCCCCATATTATGCCGTGAAGGTGACTCCGGGAGACGCGGGCACCAAAGGCGGCCTGCTGACGGACGGACATGGGCGCGTGGTAGATACACGTGGCAACGTCATTGGCGGCCTACACGCGGCCGGCAACTCATCGGCGTCGGTCATGGGTTCTGCGTCGTTGGGAGCCGGGGTTACTCTCGGCCCAGCCATGACATTCGCTCATCTTGCGGTAGTCCATATGTCTGACAGGCGCAAGGCCAGGGGCGAGCGAGGCTTTCCCTTGACCAGTCAGGAAGGTAGCGATATAGATGCATAGTGATTACGCGGTGTGCTAATTGGTCGGCTAGATTCTAATAACCGTGTCAACAATGAACAGTTTCCCAAGTTGAAAGATTTACTCTTAAGTGCCACGTTATCATGCTTGTAGCACGAGTGACCAACATCACGTAATACCTACACTCGCATCAGTCATCTGCTGTATTAGATTGTCACATAGACGGAAGTACTTTATATCTAGTGTGCATGGGTCTTTACCTCTGTTGTATCGTAAGTAAACCTCAGGCAAGGCGGCACATTTTCTTATGTCGCGAAGCCATATATAGAATACTGGGTTTTTCGGCGTGCAGTGCTTAAGATATTGCCTGGATCCTTTTGTGAAATATCGAGCCTACTTCCGAATCGGCATCTAGACATTACGGACATTCACTGAATTTTGATAAACCTCACCTGCAAAAGTACATCTTTTATCGTCCTTCTATCGCCTCAAATCTCGGTCACGACGACATGGTCGTCAGCGGTTGACCAAGTGACACAGTCTAGGTACGCCATATTCGTAGCTCTGACCTTTTCATCTACCGACTTCTAAAGCTTCGCTTTCTGAGGCGGGTTTCCTGTGCCCTTCCACTCATTGCCATAGGCAGGCAAACGCGTAAGAAAATTCTTCAAGGCCTCGCCATTGATGACGGGAGCTGTGGTGTAGTCTTTAGCATTGGTCCTCTTACCAGTTCCAGCAATAGAGGCATCAAATTAGTAAACGCCCTCTCCTCTGCCGTCCAGATTCGTGTCTGGCCGTAATTGCCATGCTCGACGTGCTAACTAGCGTCTTCCTGGATACAACGTTTCTCAAAGAGATCGAGCACTTCCGTGGGTACGTTACCGGAATGCAGTGCTGCCTTAGAAGCCATGCGTTGTCCGATAGCCTCCACCACAGTTCCGCATCAAAGAGGGACCGCCGCATTGAACTCGCTGCTTCGATGACCGCTAGGTATCGGGGCCATACTCGCCGCAATCTCGTCGACTACTCCCCTCTCGTACATGGCCAGAGGGCTTCTTCGATCGACCGGTTGAGGCAGGCAGTATTTCTGTGCCAGAAGCTCCGACACCAGGCCTGTCCCATGAGTTAGTCGGTGGATCTCAAGAAATGCACGAAAGAAATACAGATGCTGCTGGCCAGTGTGTCACCCTCTGCGACTGAATTCCCCTGGAACGTAGACGCCAGCTCACTGATCTGTCTGTAAGCATATAAACCCTGCCACCCGCATCGTTCGACAAGCTCGACGAGCAAATGCGATGAACCCACTACGAGTGCTTTGAAAGTGGGCGTAAGGCCTCTGCGAACGTCAGCGGTGGTGTCGGGGTTCATGAATAGCTTGATGGTCCATTCGGCATAAGCATGCAGAACCTCCACGAAGGCCAGCGTCTTGAGTATGGGGCGCTGCTGCGTGCTGAAACTCATAATAGGCACCACTCGCCCGTGATTTCCGACCCCAACCTGCCGACGCTGGCTATACATGGCCGTGATACACCCGGCCACCTTCAAGGCCGACACGCCCATAATGGGCAATGACAATATCCCACGGAAACGCAGTGGATCTGGACCAGGAACTCTGCCCGGTCATCGTTAGCTTTTGCGAGCGAGCCAAGTAGCGCTTTGGCAGGAAGCTCGACGTTTTTGAATGTCGTGATGGAATGGTCCAACGGTTTCGTGCTGAGCCAGACCGGCAGGGCTCGCGACACGCCGACACGATCCCGGGGCGCATTCGGGTCGAGAGTCAAAACATCGCCGTAATCAATACGCGCGAGCAGCTAGGTGGCTCGAAAGAGCATATCAGCGCAGAGAAACACTCAATAAAGCAAGAGCTTGGGAACCGCCAATTTTGTGTACAGTTCTATGGAGGTTGAGTTATGTAACTTGTTGAAAGGGTGCCTACTAAGCTGGCCGGTTCAATAATATTGATAGAGAAACAATTGGCTTGATAGCATTCTTCTCAAGATAATCAAGAGATAACAGAGGTCCCATTTGGTGATTACATCATGCTCAGAATGATTTCCTTCACCTTTTCACTATCATTGACAAGCAACTCGCCGGCGCCGT